ACTAATTTTAAATTAATTATTTATACGAATGAGGAGTTTGAAAAGACACGTCTCTTTGATGAAACAAACACCACTAAATTTTTCACCTTCCACTTTTTTATATAAATATGTAGATTTCAGGAAAATCTTTCCACTTTTTCCAATTGCTTTCTTGTGAAATTTTTTACATTATATCATTTAATAATCTTCTCATGCGATTTTTTATCATTTTGTTAATTTTGAAAGGGCTCTTGTAATATATTTTGTTCTAATTTGCAAGGGACGTAATATATTCTATTTTGGAAGAAAATTATCCATTTTATTTAGGCATAGTAAAAGGGGGAAATTGTTTTAAAAAATAAGGGCAATTCTTGAACTCAATTTTTTTTATGCATAAATAAGGGCATAAATTTGAGTATTCCATTTTATTTAGGCAAATCTTCACCACATGCTTTTGGTGATCTTTCATAAATTTGATTTATATTTCTTGCATGCTTTGAGTATTGATTATGACATGCATTTTTTTAAATAATTTTATATACAAAGATTTTGTCTCCCACACGATCCAACATTGTTTTTGCAATAACTAGTGTTTGTCTGTTTGCAAGTATTGAAGATTAAACTATCTACAAAGGGAAAGATTATATATTTACAAATTTTTTGTTTACAAACTACACTATGTTTAATCGGTCATACTTTTCCTAAGAGTGTATGATCAATCATACTTAGTGTAATTTGTAAAAAAAAAATTACAAACGGATTCTTCCCCATCTGCAAAATAGATATTGAACAGTATAATATTTATGATAGAGTAGGTGTTGTCTCTATTATATATTTCTTACGTTGTTGAAGCTAAAAATCAGGAAGGAATTTTATGCATTGTTACATTTTATGATGGAGTTGCTGATGTCTCTATTATATCCTTTTGGGAAGTATTCTGTGTAATTTTTGCATTTTAATTATGCTTTGGGATATATTAGTGAATATTGTTACAAAATTTAACTGTCATATAAGTATGGGTAAAAAAAAAAATTCAATTTAGTAAAAGAGAGTACCGTAGTATTGAAGAAATTTCCCATATATAGACACCTTTTAAATTAATGTTGTGTATACGGTATCCGGGGCCTAAATGGGCCAGGTTAGGTCTGACTTTGACTTTGATAGCCTAAGCCTATGTAAAATATTTAGAGTCTATATTGTTATGTTAGCTTGATAAAGGCTTGATGTACAGATCTGGTCTGGCCTATTATAAAAAACTAAAAAGTCTACCACAGCTTGTGAGGCCTACCAAGTTTTATAAGCTCAAGCCAAATTGAAATGTAAAATATAAAATTTCTTATTCACAAAGATCACATGAAATAATATTTTCATTAACAACACATGAAATAATATTTTTATTAATAACACATGAAATAATGTTCATAAATATCACATGAAAATGTTCATAAAGATCACATGAAATATTCATAAAGAACATATGAAAATTTCATATATGTATATATATATATATAATTTTCACTATCTTTACTAATTTAATTTTATATTATATTTTATATTTTATATTTTAAATAAATATTTATTATTTGTTAAAATAACATCAATGCTATTATTTTAAAAATTAATGTTACAAATTATGATTTCAAAATATATCTTTAAGTGAACAATATATATCATGAAAATATTATATTATTAAAAAAGTTAAAGAAATTTAGGCCATACTTTTTAAAGTTGACCTATGTCTTAATTTTTGAATGAACTTTTCTAAAAGCCTAGACATGCTCTATTTAGAGGATAGAGTAAGCCAGGTCATATCTAACATAGACCAGATTGTAGACGCATGTTAGGTCATCTGACATATTTACATGCCTGACTGTATGTAAATTTTAAACTACTTTTACATTTTGTGATATTTTGGTGTCATCCGGTTCAATTATAACTCAAGTCAAAATAATAATTATTCGCTTTTCTTTTAGGAATAAAACTAAATAAAAAATAAAATTAATGGTTTTAGAAAAATTAGTAGAAATAATGAAATAAGTCTTTTATTTTTTCTACTAATTTCATTATTTCATTATTTCATTTACTTTTATGTCTAACCTGGCCAATTTAGGCCCCTGATACCGTATACATAGCATTAATTTAAAAGGTGTCTATATATGGGAGATTTCTTCAATACTACGGTACTCTCTTTTACTAAAATGGAATTTTTTTTTACCCATACTTATATGACAGTCAAATTTTGTAACACTATTCACTAATATGTCCCAAAGCATAATTAAAATGTAAAAATTACACAGAATACTTCCCAAAAGGATATAATAGAGACATCAGCAACTCCATCATAAAATGTACAAATGCATAAAATTCCTTCCTGATTTTTAGCTTCAACAATGTAAAAAATATATAATAGAGACAACACCTACTCTATCATAACAATATCTATTTTGCAGATGGGGAAGAATCTGTTTATAATTTTTTTTTTTACAAATTACACTAAGTATGACTGATCATACACTCTTTGGAAAAGTATGACCGATTAAACATAGTGTAGTTTGTAAACAAAAAATTTGTAAATATATAATCTTTCCCTTTGTAGATAGTTTAATCTTCAATACTTGCAAACAGAAAAACACTAGTTATTGCAAAAACAATGTTGGATCGTGTGGGAGACAAAATCTTTGTATATAAAATTATTTAAAAAAATGCATGTCATAATCAATACTCAAAGCATGCAATAAATATAAATCAAATTTATGCAAGATCACCAAAAGCATGTGGTGAAGAACAAAAAAAAATTGAGTTCAAGAATTGTCCTTATTTTTTAAAACAATTTCCCCCTTTTACTATGCCTAAATAAAATGGATAATTTTCTTCCAAAATAGAATATATTACGTCTCTTGCAAATTAGAACAAAATATATTACAAGAGCCCTTTCAAAATTAACAAAATGATAAAAAATCGCATGAGAAGATTATTGAATGATATAATGTAAAAAAATTCACAGGAAAGCAATAGGAAAAAGTGGAAAGATTTTCCTGAAATCTTCATATTTATATAAAAAAGTGGAAGGTAAAAAATTTAGTGGTGTCTGTTTCATCAAAGAGACGTGTCTTTTCAAACTCCTCATTCGTATAAATAATTAATTTAAAATTAGTGAAGTATACATTAACTATGCATACATAATCAGAACACAATTTCTGCGATGGTAAACTTGTGTACGAGTGTCACTAGTTCACAGGTATACTATTATTATTATTATTATTACTATTATTACTTGTAGTATAAGAGACATTTTTTCACTTTTTCCTCCTTACAGGGCAATTCACTCTCCCGAATTTCATAGGAGTTAATTGACCGTTATCACAAGAATTATTAAACCCTTATTATATTATATGGAGATAAATTTTATCATTTTACACAAAAATAATATATAAGTGAAGTTCAAAAAAAAATATGAGAAGACAAAAAAATAAAGATAAAACCCATCTTTTAATGGAATGTAAAAGTAACATGAGAAAATTTTCTTATATAAAATAGAAAATTATTTCCTTATTATTATTATTATTATTATTTTCTTTATTTTGTTTTACAAGAGCACAACTTATTATTACCGAAGTAAAAAGAAGCTCAATAGACATAAACCTAAGCATAGCATCTATTGCAACAAACTAAATACAAGCTTAAAAAGAGGGGAGGAAACATAGAGGGCTAACTTACTAGAAAAAAATATCCTCACTCTAATTATGAGGGGCTGAGAAAAGGAAAGGAAGGTATTGATTGTGATATCAACTTGTTGATGCCACCTCTGCTACTAGGAGATGATCCCAAGTCACAATTAGCAGAAGAGATATCCTCTTGCCATTTGGAGAAGAAATTTTGACGCAAGTGATATGAGAGCCATCACCTAAAGTGATTAATTAATTAATACCTGTCATTTTTTCACATGTTTGTGGTTCTTCTGTATCAGCTTCTATTCCTATTGTAGGAGAACCATCCTTTATATTCTTTCTACCATATGTGTTCTTGCAACCTTTACATCTGCAATTAATAGAACAACCAACACAATTCTGAAAACATTCACAATATTTCTTCAAGCAACGTGATTTCTTGCAGCTGCATCCTCTTTTATGTCGAGCTGAACCTGATGCTGGAGTATTTTTCTGATCATCATCCCCGGTTCCAATGACTTTAGGATCGAATGCATTTGGGTTTTGAGATTCAATCTTCTTTCGAGTTAGAATAAGAGTATCTTCATGAATTGGTTTGTTGAAGCAATCCTTACAACCACAAGGTTCTAAGCAATAGACACCAGAAGCAAAGCACTCACAAAAAAGCTTCAAACATTTTGATTTCTTGCAATTGCAACGTTTGCATCCCTGATCAGTTTCTTCCATTTTTCGCCTTTTCTTGTTGGAGCTGTTCTGATTGAAATCTTCTTCTGCTGGTTGAACTTGATTCTCTGGTGGATCCAATTCTCTTTTGGATGATTGAGTTACCAATTGTGAATGCTCATGTTCTTGGCTTATAGAGAGATTGAAGGAAGAAGTGACACCTTTGTAATCTTTTAAGCTTGGAAGTGTGTTCAAGTGTGAACTAATTTCTGGCAAAGTGAAACTTTGTGAATTCCCATTGCAATTCGTAGGAAGAAGAAGATGGTTTTCATTAGCAACATTCTTCTCAACATACTGTGATGTAGTGTTTGAATTCTTATTTCTTTGCTCACTGGCCACTTCAAAGTCTATACAGCGTATCCATGAACCATGGTGCAAAACAAGCTTAAAACAAAAGAAAAAAAGAATCATTATAAAATGATTATGTCTTGTTTTATTATTTTCACGTCAGAAAAATATAATGATTGAATTTTTGCCATGATGTACATATAAAGTAATGATTGGAAATGCTACATCAATATAAACCATAACAAAAGGTGACTAGCAAGAGTGATATGCAATTATACACATAAATAATAGGAAAAAAGATGGTTATATAATTTAAAGAAAAGTTGACCAATGTCTCTGTAGTTTCCTCCAGAATCACTTATGCCCTTGTGGTTTTTTTATCACATATGCTCCTGTGATTTGCAAAAGGGTATATTTTTTTATCACATATGTCCCTGTGATTTTTATTTTTTACAAAGAACAGGGACATATGTGATAAAAAAATCACAGGGACATAGATGATTCTGAAGCAAATTAGAAGGGCATTGGTGAACTTTTCCCTATAATTTAATGGTGTACTAGTACATATACCAGTATAATACATGCACCATTTGCAGTTAGAATATTTTTTCAAGAAAAAGGTTTTTTTTATCTATATTTACAAGATAGAATATTGTTATTTCCAATTAGTGTGACGACTAATGTTTACTACCAGATTGTTTTATCGTTAGATCGATTATGTTGATCCAACGGTTCTGATTTAACTTTCTATAAACCTTTTTTCTTCTCTCTATATTTAATACTTTATATTTATTTTCACATTTGTATGATTATGATTTCCCATATTTAATGTGAATATGGGGAACTATAACCATACAAATGTGGGAATAAATATAACCCTACGGTGAAATAAACTAGTAGTGACATTTGTAGTAACACTAATTGGTAATAACAATATTCTATCTCTATTTATAATGAGTAATGATACTCATATATATTCATATCAACCAAACATAACCTACAAAAATCATGCCTTTGAGATAAACTCTTGGATACATTCATCCAACCTAAAAAACGAGAAAACCCTAGTCCACAAAACTTTCCAACTTGCGAGAATAAGAATTAGGGTTGTCAGTCATACATAGTTGTACCCTTGTATTTTTTTTTATAAAGAGTTTGTTTTAGGACTCAAGCATGTGATCTTCACGGTCAGAACAAAAAACCTTACCAAAGTCTAGCTAGCCCTTGGAAACATACAACCTACATGCAATAAAATATATAATACACATAAATTTCCCTTTCCTACCTCATCATTTGTCTTCGCATTTGGATTGCTCATCATCAAAGCAACATTGGCAAGATTGTCCTGATGTGTATGGTCTGTGACTGTGGCTGCTATTGGCTCAAAACAATGATCTTGGATATCAAGTTCAGAACCAGAAGCAACTGAATCAACAACGTGCATTATCCCATCATTATTGGTGGTAATTTCATACAATTCTCTTGAGCAATGATGCGCATGAGTAGAATCTGCAAGAGCCAGATCACTTGAGTAAACATCATTTCCATATTCTGAAGAAACCTTAGCCTTTGATGTGCCAAATGAGTTGAAACAGCTAGCATGGGGTGATGCGAAAACACGAGGAGGGGATGAAAAGATGAGTGAATTGAACGTCTGAATATTGTTAAGAGACTTAAGGGGCTTCAAAGGAGATAAATTATTGATATAGTTGAACACAGGTGAATCCTCTAAGTTAGGGGAGGGAGTGTTCATTTGGTTCCCCTTTGGTGTCTCCATGTTCAGAGAGGCACCACCTCGCTCTTCTCTTTCTCTAAATGTGGTCTTTTATGAATTTTATAGATGAAATGAGGGTTCAAGAAGTGATAAAGAAAAATAATAATGATAATAAGTGTAATTGTTACCTAAATTAAGAAGATTTAATTGAATGATAATAATTAAAAAAATTATTTGATTGAATAATTATAATTTTTAAGCGTAATCACAGAACACTCAACTTGAATATTAAAGTCCTTTTATTTTCCATTTTGTGTCTCACTTGTATATTTACATAGTTTCCTTTTGTCATTGATAAGGGTATATTTGAATGTAGATTCAATGAGGAAGGAACGAGTAATTTTTCGTTTTTAAGTAAATATTTATAACATTTTAAAAAAATTACAGTAATTTTTTTATTTAACATTTAAGTTATCCATCTTATGACTTAGATTGGGCCTTGTACCACCATCCATATTTAAATTCAACATTTTAAACCATTTCAAATTTTGAATTTTAGATCAGATAACCAATTTCAACATAAAAAGCAATTAAAACAGCAGACTTTTTTTTGGATACCAATGTGATGGGCAGTGAAATATTCAATGCCTTATCTACTACCACAAATGGTCATTTAATTATTAGATTTAAAAATTAAAATTTGATTTTTAAAAGTAATTCTTTTCCCACCATCCATATTTAAATTCAACATTTTAAACCATTTCAAATTTCGAATTTTAGATCAGATGACCAATTCCAACATAAAAAGCAATTAAAACAGCTGATTTCTTTCTGGATACCAATGTGATGGGAAGTGGGACATTCAATGCCTTGTCTGCCACCACAAATGGTTATTAATTTTTTGGATTTAAAAATTAAAATTCCATTTTAAAAGAATTTCTTTTTCCCACCATCCATATTTAAATTCAAAATTTTAAACCATTTCAAATTTTGAATTTTAGATCATATGACCAATTCCAACATAAAAAGAAATTAAAACAGCTGATTTCTTTTTGGATACCAATGTGATGGGTAGTGGGAAATTCAATGCCTTGTCTGCCACCACAAATGGTCATTTAATTATTCGATTTAAAAATTAAAATTCGATTTTTAAAAGTAATTCTTTTCCCACCATCCATATTTAAATTCAAAATTTTAAACCATTTCAAATTTTGAATTTTAGATCAGATGACAAATTCCAACATAAAAAGCAATTAAAACAGCTGATTTCTTTCTGGATACCACCGTGATGGGGAGTGGGACATTCAATGTTTTGTCTGCCACCACAAATGGTTATTAAATTTTTTGATTTAAAAATTAAAATTCGATTTTTAAAAGAATTTTTTTTCCGACCATCCATATTTAAATTCAAAATTTTAAACCATTTCAAATTTTAAGTTTTAGATCAGATGACCAATTCCAACATAAAAAGCAATTAAAACAGCTGATTTCTTTTTGGATACCAATGTGATGGGTAGTGGGAAATTCAATGCCTTGTCTGCCACCACAAATGGTCATTTAATTATTCGATTTAAAAATTAAAATTCGATTTTTAAAAGTAATTCTTTTCCACCATCCATATTTAAATTCAAAATTTTAAACCATTTCAAATTTCGAATTTTAGATCAGATGACCAATTCCAACATAAAAAGCAATTAAAACAGCTGATTTCTTTTTGGATACCAATGTGATGGGCAGTGGGACATTCAATGCCTTGTCTGCCACCACAAATGGTCATTTAATTATTCGATTTAAAAATTAAAATTCGATTTTTAAAAGAATTTTTTTTCCCACCATCCATATTTAAATTCAAAATTTTAAACCATTTCAAATTTTGAATTTTAGATCATATGACCAATTCCAACATAAAAAGCAATTAAAACAGCTGATTTCTTTTTGGATACCAATGTGATGGGTAGTGGGAAATTCAATGCCTTGTCTGCCACCACAAATGGTCATTTAATTATTCGATTTAAAAATTAAAATTCGATTTTTAAAAGTAATTCTTTTCCACCATCCATATTTAAATTCAAAATTTTAAACCATTTCAAATTTCGAATTTTAGATCAGATGACCAATTCCAACATAAAAAGCAATTAAAACAGCTGATTTCTTTTTGGATACCACCGTGATGGGGAGTGGGACATTCAATGTTTTGTCTGCCACCACAAATGGTCATTTAATTATTCGATTTAAAAATTAAAATTCGATTTTTAAAAGAATTTTTTTTCCCACCATCCATATTTAAATTCAAAATTTTAAACCATTTCAAATTTCGAATTTTAGATCAGATGACCAATTCCAACATAAAAAGCAATTAAAACAGCTGATTTCTTTTTGGATACCAATGTGATGGGTAGTGGGAAATTCAATGCCTTGTCTGCCACCACAAATGGTCATTTAATTATTCGATTTAAAAATTAAAATTCGATTTTTAAAAGTAATTCTTTTCCCACCATCCATATTTAAATTCAAAATTTTAAACCATTTCAAATTTCGAATTTTAGATCAGATGACAAATTCCAACATAAAAAGCAATTAAAACAGCTGATTTCTTTCTGGATACCACCGTGATGGGGAGTGGTACATTCAATGTTTTGTCTGCCACCACAAATGGTTATTAAATTTTTTGATTTAAAAATTAAAATTTGATTTTTAAAAGTAATTCTTTTCCCACCATCCATATTTAAATTCAAAATTTTAAACCATTTCAAATTTCGAATTTTAGATCAGATGACCAATTCCAACATAAAAAGCAATTAAAACAGCTGATTTCTTTTTGGATACCAATGTGATGGGTAGTGAAACATTCAATGCCCTGTGTGCCACCACAAATGGTCATTTAATTATTCGATTTAAAAATTAAAATTCGATTTTTAAAAGTAATTCTTTTCCCACCATCCATATTTAAATTCAAAATTTTAAACCATTTCAAATTTCGAATTTTAGATCAGATGACAAATTCCAACATAAAAAGCAATTAAAACAGCTGATTTCTTTCTGGATACCACCGTGATGGGGAGTGGGACATTCAATGTTTTGTCTGCCACCACAAATGGTTATTAAATTTTTTGATTTAAAAATTAAAATTCGATTTTTAAAAGAATTTTTTTTCCCACCATCCATATTTAAATTCAAAATTTTAAACCATTTCAAATTTAAAGTTTTAGATCAGATGACCAATTCCAACATAAAAAGCAATTAAAACAGCTGATTTCTTTTTGGATACCAATGTGATGGGTAGTGGGAAATTCAATGCCTTGTCTGCCACCACAAATGGTCATTTAATTATTCGATTTAAAAATTAAAATTCGATTTTTAAAAGTAATTCTTTTCCACCATCCATATTTAAATTCAAAATTTTAAACCATTTCAAATTTCGAATTTTAGATCAGATGACCAATTCCAACATAAAAAGCAATTAAAACAGCTGATTTCTTTTTGGATACCAATGTGATGGGCAGTGGGACATTCAATGCCCTGTCTGCCACCACAAATGGTCATTTAATTATTCGATTTAAAAATTAAAATTCCATTTTAAAAGAATTTCTTTTTCCCACCATCCATATTTAAATTCAAAATTTTAAACCATTTCAAATTTCGAATTTTAGATCATATGACCAATTCCAACATAAAAAGCAATTAAAACAGCTGATTTCTTTTTGGATACCAATGTGATGGGAAGTGGGAAATTCAATGCCTTGTCTGCCACCACAAATGGTCATTTAATTATTCGATTTAAAAATTAAAATTCGATTTTTAAAAGTAATTCTTTTCCCACCATCCATATTTAAATTCAAAATTTTAAACCATTTCAAATTTCGAATTTTAGATCAGATGACAAATTCCAACATAAAAAGCAATTAAAACAGCTGATTTCTTTCTGGATACCACCGTGATGGGGAGTGGGACATTCAATGTTTTGTCTGCCACCACAAATGGTTATTAAATTTTTTGATTTAAAAATTAAAATTTGATTTTTAAAAGTAATTCTTTTCCCACCATCCATATTTAAATTCAAAATTTTAAACCATTTCAAATTTAAAGTTTTAGATCAGATGACCAATTCCAACATAAAAAGCAATTAAAACAGCTGATTTCTTTTTGGATACCAATGTGATGGGTAGTGGGAAATTCAATGCCTTGTCTGCCACCACAAATGGTCATTTAATTATTCGATTTAAAAATTAAAATTCGATTTTTAAAAGTAATTCTTTTCCCACCATCCATATTTAAATTCAAAATTTTAAACCATTTCAAATTTCGAATTTTAGATCAGATGACAAATTCCAACATAAAAAGCAATTAAAACAGCTGATTTCTTTCTGGATACCACCGTGATGGGGAGTGGGACATTCAATGTTTTGTCTGCCACCACAAATGGTTATTAAAATTTTTGATTTAAAAATTAAAATTCGATTTTTAAAAGAATTTTTTTTCCCACCATCCATATTTAAATTCAAAATTTTAAACAATTTCAAATTTAAAGTTGTAGATCAGATGACCAATTCCAACATAAAAAGCAATTAAAACAGCTGATTTCTTTTTGGATACCAATGTGATGGGTAGTGGGAAATTCAATGCCTTGTCTGCCACCACAAATGGTCATTTAATTATTCGATTTAAAAATTAAAATTCGATTTTTAAAAGTAATTCTTTTCCACCATCCATATTTAAATTCAAAATTTTAAACCATTTCAAATTTCGAATTTTAGATCAGATGACCAATTCCAACATAAAAAGCAATTAAAACAGCTGATTTCTTTTTGGATACCAATGTGATGGGCAGTGGGACATTCAATGCCCTTGTCTGCCACCACAAATGGTCATTTAATTATTCGATTTAAAAATTAAAATTCCATTTTAAAAGAATTTCTTTTTCCCACCATCCATATTTAAATTCAAAATTTTAAACCATTTCAAATTTCGAATTTTAGATCATATGACCAATTCCAACATAAAAAGCAATTAAAACAGCTGATTTCTTTTTGGATACCAATGTGATGGCTAGTGGGAAATTCAAT